CCCCCCCCCCCCCCCCGCGCGCGCGCTCGGGTCCCGCAATCCAACTCCCCCGGAACTGGCCAGTGACACTGACCCACCTGCTCCGCGCCTGTCCCTGGGAACAGTGCAAACCCCTGACATTGGCAACGTGTCGCTCATCTGCAAGGATGGCGTCACCATCGAGGTCCCTCGGGACATTGCCGAGAAGTCCCGGCTAATCAAGAATCTCCTGCACGGTTCGTCCCCCAGTGAAGCAACACCCCATCCCCTCTTGGATCCCTCATCTGGACCGACCGTCTGACCCTCCCCATTCGCCACTCACGCCTGCTCCAATTCCGCCAGACCTCGGGCCAGTGGCCACGCCCATCCCCCTGCCCAGTGTGGATAGTACCATCCTGATCGAAGTCTTCAAGTGGGCCTTCCACCATCGGTGCGGGGCCGCGCGCGCTCGTGCACACATCCGTCTCTCCCCCCTCCCCCCTCTGCCACGCATCCCCTCTGACACCCATCCACATCGCAGCTTCGACCCCCCGCCCATGACCGAGGAGGAAATGGCCTCTGCTTTCCGGAACGGCCGGTCCCTTCGCCGGTTGGATGACATCTCCAGCTGGGATCACGACTTTTGCCAGGTTGACCAGGCCACTCTTTTTAACATCATCGTGGTGCGCATCTCTCCCTCTCTCTCTCCCTCCCTCTCTCTCTCTCTCTCTCTCTCTCTCTCGCCTCCCCCTCCTCGTGGTTTCCCCAACCTGTGCCAGATATGGTGTCCATCTGCCGCGCCACCATTCCTCCATGCCAGTAACTTACCGGTTTCTCCTGTTCCACTCTCTCCTGCAGGTCGCCAACTACCTCGACATCCCTGCTCTGTTGGACCTGACAACCAAGTCTGTTGCCACCATGATCACCGGTGTGTACCCCGGCATTGCGTCCTGCCTGGCCTCCCTGCTCGGTTTCCTCTTTTGTCCCCCTCCCCCTCTGTGCTTCTCTTGTTGGTCCCTGCCCACCTCTCTTTCTGGTGGCTTTGCCAAAACGCTGACACACTTTGCCTCCAGGAAAAACTCCCGAGCAGCTCCGGCTCACTTTCAACATTCCCAGCGATCTGGCTCCCGACGAGGAGGATTCCATCCAGCGTGACAACCAGTGGATCGGCAACTGAGCCATGCTCTCGCTGGCCACAAGGACCCAGGGCTCTACACATCTAGGTGGGCAACTGCCCTTGCAACTCAGAGACAAGCCCGCTGTCTGTGGTCCCCAAATAAAGGAGAAATTCACATTTCCCCCCCCCCCCAGACTATCTACTGGGAGCGAGGGAGCGAGGGAGTGAGGGGAGAGAGGGAGAGAGGGGGAGAGAGAGAGAGAGAGAGACAAGGGAACGGTATGTGTTCGTATACACATACTCTTGCTTATGGCCACATTGAAAGGGTGAGATGGGTCTATTACACAGGGGGGGAACGAGAAGGGGGGTCACCGGGGCCGAAGCCGGGCAAACCAAAGGGCAAACTGGCCGTCTTCCACTTTTCACCCCGAGCCTCGGGTGCTCAGTGCAATCAGGACCGCCACCACAAGGAGGCTGATTGACAGAGTCCGCCAGAAGTGCTGCGGCTCGGCCGCCTTCCGGGAGTCCATGAGGGTGGAGGAGGATTCGGCTCCCGTGGTGGATGGGCCTTCGGAGGAGCATGCATCGCTGTCAGAGGTGGCAGCCGTGGGCTGCTTGGTGGTAGCCTTGCCTTCGGTGCCAACAACGGGCATCTCCTCCATGCTGGGGGCCTCTGTTGTGGACGACTGGGATGCATGCTTTCCCGAGGGGGGGCTCTCGGTAGTGAGCTTTTCAGTGGCGGGCCTCCCGGCGGTGGACTCCTTGGCGGTGGACTCCTTGGCGGTGGACTCCTTGGCGGTGGACTCCTTGGCGGTGGACTCCTTGGCGGTGGACCCCTCGGCGCTTGCAACCTGCCCAGGCTTCTTCCGGGGGGTCTCATCATATGACAAGCCCTGAAGCATGCCACGATATAGGTCCTTTTCGCGCCGGCGGGCGGCACGGGCCTGCTTTTCGGCACGGGCATATAGGCTGCCCAAGTCATCGTCGGTTACCGGAGCCAGGGCCGGCAGGGGAAAGTGCGTGCGAACCGCCGCATGAAGGGCTTCATCCGGAGAGGGGCCGGTGATGGTGGCGGACCGGCGCCGAGCGGATAGCACCGCATCCGGCCGGCCAGCGGCCAGGAGGATCTTCCCATGCGCAAGACAGACAGACCGCAGGGTGGGCAAAGCCTCCAGGGCCTGGGCAGCTCGATCACATGTGGCCCGGTCCGGGACTGGGAGTTGCCCAGCCAGAGACAGGGCCAGCCCCAGGCTCTCCAGGCCCCGGAGAAGGCGAAGATGCTCCTTCAGGCTCGGCAAAGGCCGATGGCATACACCCAGCAGGTGGATCCACTCTTCCTGGTTGTCAGGCCACTCGTCATCCGGGCCAACTGACTTCAGCAGCCCCTTGATCTTGGTGAAGGCACGCTGTGCCATTGACAAGAAGCCTAGATCCATCCAGAACTGCCCGACGGCCAGGGCGCGGCTTGCAAGGAAAACCTCCAGGTAATACTCCAGGGTGAAGGCCGCATCGGGCGACAGCATGCCGGCCTGCTGGGCGCCGGCCAGGAAGATGTCAATCTCCATCGGGTGCGTGTAAACCGGATGGCTGGTGTACAATAGGGGTGAGTTTCGGGGCGATCAGGTTTGGACTTGGCCAGGCTGGTCGAGCAAATGACGTGACGTACCCCTCGGGCAGGCTGTCCTGGAAGAGGAAACGCGGGCTCGCCCGAACGATGGCATACTCGCCGATGGCCTGCATGCCAATACACATGTCGATGGCTGCCCGGAGGTGGTCGAGTGAGCAAACAGGAGGTCAGAGGGCGGGGGCGAGGGGGGGGGGGGAGGGGGATCACAAGGAAAAGGACCTGGCCAAGACAGGGGGGAAGACATACCGGACACGGCTTCAGACTCGCCGGCCAGGAGCTGGCGCACGCTCCACCCGCCCGGGGCCGTTGGGCCGCCGTAACCGGGCAACTGGGCCATTGCCGCAAGGGGGCCGCCCTCTTGGAAGAGGGCCTCTGGCAATGGAGCCCCGGGGAAGACGCCAGCCGAGGCCAGTTGCTCTGGGAGGCCCTCCGGATGATACTCCAACATGGCGACCCCGGGGCCCGGGGCACTGGCCGGATCTAGCAATCTCAGGCGCAAGGCCACAGTCACCAGGGTCCCGGGTCGGGGGCGGTGGTCCTCGTCGATCAAATCCATATCGGCCAGCTCCTCGATCTCCTCGGTGGACGGAGTCCGCAGCATGGCCACCGACCGGAAGAGGAGCTCCCCGCTGGAAAGAACATCCGTCCAGCCTCCGGCGATGACATCGTCCTGGCCCTCGGAGTCGCTCGATACCTCGGGATCTGCCGGGACATCGAGATCCTCGGAGTCGGGAGAGTGTGCGGAAGGAGGCCCGGCACTGGAGTCAACATGCTGAGCACCCTTCTCGGGAGACTCAGCCTCCGGCTGGGGGGACCCACCGGCAGGGAGGGGCTTCGGTGGCTGCGTCGGGCTGGTCGAGTTGGCATCCAGTGGCAGCGATCCAACCAACGGAGGTGTCGGGGACTCGGAGGTCATGTGTGCCCAGGAGGAGCCCAGCAGGGAGATGGGTGCGAGAGGGAGCGAGAGAGAGAGAGAGAGAGAGAGAGAGATGGAAAGAGGGAACAAAGAAGAGAAAATACGACGGGGGTGGTCGGGAGGTGGAGGGTTTCAGGTGGGCTTGCGGGACAGGGATCGTCGCATGAACGGATGCGGGGTGGACCAGCGGATGGCGCCTGGGCGGCGGCACTGGTGGCTGTTGGGCTTAGTGCATGCATGCCGGCGGGCACCTGGGCCTGCCAGCAAGGGGGGGATTGTGGTTGAGGTAAATTCCTGCGGGTCCCCCGGCGGCCGGAGATCGGCGCGAGAGAAGGGCATCCGCGCCGGGCCAGCCGGCCATGACGTGGGGCGGGGGACATCACCCAGCGTTGACACACCTTACAAGGGGGGGGCCTTGCGCGGGAGGAACATGTAAGCACGCACAGGGGGGGGGGGGCGGTGGACACAGGAAGCTGCATCGGTGCTCCCCCTCCCTCGCCCGGCCGCTCAAGGGGGGGGGGGCTAAACCGCACCGAAGAGCATGCTTCGCTGGCAGGCCGAAGGGGGGGGGACTCACACCGGCATCGGCGCATGTCTTGGGGCAGCCTCGCGCCTGTTCGGAGATGGCGGCCGGATCATGTGCCCGGGTGCGTCAGGCCTCGTCTGTCATATGATTCCCACTTCGGGCGGCCGCCTCCCTCGGCCCGACGCCCGGGCGGGAAAGGGGAAGAATGCTCCCGCCCTAGTCCGTCCTGAAAAGAGAACAGGGAGCCCTCGCATCTTTCGGCGTACCAGGCCCCCCCCCCCGCCCCCCGCCCCCCGCCCCCTCCCACAGCCCCTGCTTGTTCGGAGGTCCGCGGTCCCACTCGCGCCCGGGACGAGGCCGGGGTGAGGGAGGGCCGGATACGCGGAAATGTGCCACCGGACAGGGAGGCCGGACCTTGCCGGGAGGCGAGGGGACAGGCGGGCGAACATTCGCCCCGGCGTTCCCGGTGAAGCGCGGTCGCCCGGAGCATGGGCACCCCAGCCCCAGGGGCCGCCCGCCGGGGCCGGTCCGGGGCTGGCCCGGGGCCCATGCAGGCCCTCGCACCCCCTACCCGAAAGCAACCTGCCCGGGGGGAGGGGGCAGGGAGGCGGGGCACCCGAGATCGCTGCGTGCCCCGTTGCCTTTCTTCGCAGGCCCGGTTGGGCGACACCGACGGGCAGGCCGCCCGCTTATGGCCGCCTCCTGCCCGTTGTCCCCCGGCGCGGGGCAGCCTTAAAGTAGCAACCCGTATCGGTAGCCCCCTGGGAAGTGGGGAGAACACTGACTGCGCTTTCAATGTTGGCCACGGCTGCAGGGGGGGGGGGGGACAGCGCGTGCCTTTCTTTGTCGGGCCATCTGAATGCGGCCTAAATATTTAAATTGTAGATTTTCAGCTATCCAGCTTTCCTTCATCTTTTCTGGTGTGCTCCCTGCATCTTCCTGATTTTTGCTGGTGCACTTGCTTCCCCCCACCCGCCTCGCTTCCGCCTCGGAAAGGAGGGGGGGAACCCGGCACATGCGCATGGGCCGCATCGATCTTCCTCGCCGAGAAGTCGCACACGCCCGCCGACCCTCCCGTGTGTCCTAAAGAAAGTGAGAGGCGCTTGGCGCGCCTGAAAGGCGCCTGTGCGCTCTTGGCGGCCGTTAGGCCTGGCCGAGGGGAGGGGGGCGGGGGGGGGGGGGGTCAGCACTCGGGGGGTGTTTTGGCGGTCTTTTTTTCTGAAGTGGCCATTTCGCGCGCCCTCACGCCCCGCCCCCCCCCCGGGTCCGGCAGAAGAGGCGGGAAGGGGGGGACGGGCACGCGCGGCCCGCCCGCCTAAAAGGCGCCTGCACGCCCGCTGATGTTTCTCGAATTCACCGTTTTTTCCCCCCCAGCCCACTTCCCCCCCCAGCGGGTATAGGCACAACCCGCGCCGGATGCCCCGCCGGTAACGGCCAGGGATTATTTAAACTGGAATCCCCTCCCCCGTGCTCCCCCCTGCGCCCCGAGGGCGCGGCTGGGCCGATTCGCGTGCTGGTGGCCGGGTGGTGCTCTACCCCCGCGCCCGGTCGGGGGGGGCGCAGGCCGGCCCGGGCTCGTGCGCGTTTGTGCGCCTTGCTGGCGCGCCGAGACCAACGGGAGGGGGACCAGCGCCCGGTGGGATTCGCACGAGACAGCGAGCCAGGCGCGGGGCGCCGGAGATCTCAGCCACGCGCACTCTCTCCACGGGGTTGGCCCGTTTGCCCCCCCCCTCCCGGTGTCGGTCCGGATGAAGGGGGAAGGCCGGCCTCGCCCGCCTTGGCGTGTTCCGTGCTCTCGCTGTTGCCTCTCCCTCCAAGACCCCGACCCCAGCGCAGTTTCGTCGGGGGCGCTCTCCGGCGACGGTTCCGTCTTTATTGTATACCACTGAAAGGTGCGTGCAATTAGGTAATCCCCCTGCCAGGGCTTATCCTGGCCATTCGCCCAAGTGGCACCACCACCGGCATCCTAACATCCACCAGCCCCGGCCGTGCTTACCTGGGGGCAGTGCTGCTCTTTCTCAGCCCTCGAGCTGGAGAGAAGCCACGAGAGAGCAGCGCATTCAGGCCGGGACGTTTCCCCTCCCCCCCTCTCGGCCGGCCTGCACCTGCCGGTGCGCGATGGGCGTGTCCTTCACACCGGGCCCTCTTTAGCATTTTCCGGCGAGGGGGGGGGGGGAACACCGCCAAGGGCGCGGCCGGCGTGCCGTCTGGCCCCTCTCTGAACGCGGGCGGAGGAGGGGCACCGATGTTTGTCCTTCC